ACGTTGATGGGGTCTGAACTGGCAGAGACTGATCAAGAGAGAGATCTTGGAGTTGTAGTAGAAAACTCACTGAAAATGTCGAGACAGTGTGTGACTGCAATAAAGAAGGCCAATGCTATGCTGGGGATTATTAGGAAGGGTATTGTAAACAGATCAGCCAATATCATAATGCCCCTATATAAATCAATGGTGAGACCTCATCTGGAATACTGTGTGCAATTCTGGTCACCACACCTTAAAAAGGATATTATAGCTTTGGAAAAAGTGCAGAAAAGGGCAATTCGAATGATAAAAGGGTTGGAACACTTTCCCTATGAGGAAAGGTTAAGGCGCTTAGGGCTCTTTAGCTTGGAGAAACGACGACTGAGGGGTGACATGATTGAGGTTTATAAGATTATGCATGGGAAAGAGCAGGTAGAGAAAGAGGTACTTTTCTCCCTTTCTCACAATACAAGAACTCGTGGGCACTCCATGAAATTGCTGAGCGGTCGGGTTAGAGCAGATAAAAGGAAGTACTTCTTCACCCAAAGAGTGATTAACACTTGGAATTCACCGCCACAGGAAGTGGTGGCGGCTACAAGCATGGACGGCTTCAAAAGGGAATTAGATAAGCATATGGAGCAGAGGTCCATCAGTGGCTATTAGCCACAAAGTATAGATAGGGACTCTGAGGCAAGTGATGCTCTGTCATCTTGGTGCTTGGGGGGGTCAACAGTGGGATGGCTTCTAATGTCCTGGCCCCACTGGTGGACCTCCTGATGGCACTGGTATTTCTGGCCACTGTGTGATACAGAGTGTTGGACTGGATGGGCCTTTGGCCTGATCCAACATTGGCATCTCTTATGTTCTTATGTTCTTATGAGAGTCAAATTTGGTCAGTCTAAGCTTTTGAAAATCAAAGCTCCCTTTGTCAGATCAGTAAAGTTGATAAGCTTTAGGCATGGCACACTGCCCAATTAACTGAGAAGAAAATTTTCCACTGGGCCACTGCCCTAGGGGGTAACCGGAAGCCTGGTGCACACAGACCCAAGCCCCAATATCTTCCATAAACGCTCAAGATTTTGGAAGAAAAAAACATTTTAAATTAATAATTTATCCTTTTTGTGTGTGTGTGTATCCTGGGTTATTTTTCTACCTCATGACTCTGTCTGTGGTGGAGAAAATATTCTCCAGGGTTATAAGAAGCAATTTCAGGTTGTCAAGAAGGGCTGTATCTCTCCAGAGGACTTAAAAATGGTTCAATAGATCAATGTTTTTTGCCCCAATGTGTTAAATAAGCTTAAGATTAAAAAAAAAAAAAAAAGGTACTCCAATGGCAAAATGTATAGATTTATAAACTTGTTATAGGATCACAGTATCTTGAATTGTTTTATTCAAAGAAAGCAAAACTGTAAGTGCTAACTGGCTGTACTTTGGGGGCATTGTTTACTACTGTACAGGTGACAACGTGCTAAGAGGACAAAGCTTTATAGCCACTTCTCCACCCATTCTACTACCGGGGTAGGAAACTCAGCCCAAGCTTGGACAGATAGTTAAGCAGCTGATCCTGGACTTGAATGCAATGCACAGCAAACAGAAATGGCACAGCCAGTGTGACAACACTTTGAGCTGAGAACAAGCTACTTGCTAAACATTCAATAAATGATAACAATCCACAGATTTTATCTCGCACCTTTCATCTAAGGCTCTTCAGATCCATGAGAAAAAGAGCTCTGGATAGGGCTCTGTTCTAAACAGAAGTTCTGCCCAGCTACGAAGCCTAACTGGTAGCCGTTTAATCAGCATATGCATTTCTATGTCTTCCATGGAGAAGAATGCTTTGATCTGAACCTTTGTTTTATGGATATGTTTGCACAGCTTTGTAATTAGTCAATAACTAATAAGTTGAGGAGAACACCCATACAAGATCTTTTTTACTTTGTGCCACAGGGCAGAAAGCAGCTGTACTAGGAAGGGTTTTTTTTAAAAAAAACACTAGTCCATTTTAGTAATTGCAATATAAATGCAGAGTATAAACAAACAAAATATAGACAAAGCCATTGTCGGCTGGCTCCTTTCAGAACAGAACAGTCCGATGAAATAAAATTGTTAACAGTTAGGGCAAAAACCCATCAGCATCCAGTATGTAATAACTATATACACTGTATAGGGAGTGAGTAAAACTGGGATAATATAAAAAAATACTGTACACTGCACGGTGAGAAGGGTTTCCCCCTCCTCTCGTGAGTTTCAGTTTAGAAGCAGAACTGCAGACAAAATGAAGCTTTGAGGTTCTGGATTTAAAAAAAGAAAGCATTGCATTAAAGTATGGATTGTCATAAGAAAAGATGCCAGAATACCATAAACCACAATGGTTCCAATTCAAGAGTTTTTATGTACAGCAATCAGAGCTGTGCACACAAAGGGTTGGATCCAAACTAAATGATGCCTCCTTTCCGCTAGACTCTCTTCATGTCATTCCTCATGATGGCTGCCAACCTCCAGGTGTGGTTTGGAGATTTCTTGGAATTCCAACTGATCTCCAAACTATAGGTATCACTTCCCCTGGAGAAAATGGCTGCTTTGGAGGGTGGACTATAGCACTATAGCCAGCTGAGGTCCCTCCCTCCCCTAAACCCTGGCTTCCCCAGGCTCTGCCCCCAAAGCTCCAGGAATCTCCCACCCCAGAGTTGGCAACTGTATTCCTCGGGGTTTCCTAAAGTCATAATGCTTGAAAATGCAGTCAGACAGGGCAAGTATCCTGGATTAAACATTTTCCCAAATTTAATGTGTTCCATATGAAAATTACACCTTAATGTTAAATTATAATTTATTTCAACAGAGTGAACTTTGGTGAACAAGCATTTAAGAGCACAGCCTACATTATTCCACAGTTGGCCACCACTGACAACTGAAACAACTGAAGAGCAGTTATTTTCCTCCCTGGAAGCGTAAAATAATTAAAAATAGTGTTTATGGTACCAACAAAGGGGAGATAATCTCTTTTTATATGTCCTGGCTAATGATACATATGGTGGTGAATATGAGGCCTTAATAGTTTCAACATTCCAAATTAGAAAAGCACCTGCTAACTGTACAAATGAGTTGTCGCTTGTACACCCTGCGTGCTGACTGAATGCATGATCCAAAGGGCAAATATTCCAAAGAGAAAATCAAATGCTGTAATTGTCTTCTAAATACATTTTAAAAGGCCTTTGTTGGTGTCCACCTAACTGCTCCATGCTGCAGGTAGCAACAGTTATCTAGAATTCTAAATTAATGAGTTAAATAAAGTGTTAGGGTGTTTTTTTTTAAAGATAACAAGATCACCCTAGGGATTGATCTAGGGTTTGTGTGTGTGTTTGTTTTGCTTGTTTTATTACCTAGCAGATGGTGTGGCAAATGTGTGGCAGCTATCTTATATGCCAGTTTGTTTAAACAGATTGCCTTCATCATTTGACCACTGTTAGAAAGGCAATTGAAAACCACAGGCTTCAAGCATTTACATAATGAATATTTTAAAAATGCAAATATGGAACATTTCTCACCCTTCAAATGCACTGTCAAGGGTTACCTTCAGACAGGCATGTACATGGATGCCAGAATCAGTTGGCAACCCAAGATGAAATACTTTAAAGGTACATCGTGGATGGCCAAAGTCTGAGTTTGGTTGAATCTGCATTTGCATTTTTAAATCAGTTTTGTGCTGCTGTGATGTCTTTCTCTATGCTTTTTTGAACATTGTTTGGAGAAGATAGGGTTGCCAAGTCTACTTACCTTGGCGGCGGGGGAGCCTTGCCGGGCTCCGGGAGCTCTTTAGCGATGCGTGCGCGCACGCACCACCAGCACATCACAGGAAGTGACGCGCTACGTTGCTCACATTGGGGGCGTGGCCCCAATTGTCGGAGGGGTTGGGGGCGGAGTTCCCCCCGGGGCCTGATTCCGTGGCGGTGGAAATCGGGCCTCCAAAGCGGGAGTTTACCCACCACCTGCCCCCACTTGGCAGCCCTAGGAGAAGATTCTTTTAAAGCAGTGAGGAGGCGCAATGACAGTGGCGCTGCCACGAGAAAGTGATAAACATATGTGGATGTGCAAAAGTATGCTAGCTAGCACTGTTGAGGTGTGAAAACGAAACCAAATGCAGACAGCTTTTTGAAGACGGAGTCAGAAGGCTGGGACACCGGTGGGAAAGACAAATGCAGATTCGACCTTTGTTACTTGGTTTTATACCTTCTTATGCTTTAGCGAACTTTGACCTGGATAGCCCAGGCTAGCCCAGTCTCACCAGATCTTGGAAGCTAAGCCAAGTTGGCCCTGGTTAGGTATTTGTATGGGAGACCACCAAAGAATACCAGAATTGTGACATGGAGTCAGGCAAGGGCTAATCACCTCTGAACATCTCTTGCTTTCAAAACCCAGTGGGATCACCATAAGTCCGCTGTGATTGATGGCACTTTGGACTACCATGTTTTAAACAAACATAGGTCAAGAGGATAGAACAGTAACTAATGGAGGGGCTGGCTACTTAAACGACAAAGAAAGTTCTTGGTGGGCTGCTGTCCTGGAGGGCCAGGAACAAACAGAGTCAACAAAGAGCAAGCCAAGCTTATTTGGCTCCTGCCGCACTGCAAGCCAGCACTGCAGAGACAGCTCAGCTCACATCCAACACATTCGAGTAGACCAGCGGTCCCCAATGTGGTGCCCAGGGCCCGCTGACACCTTTCCTGGTGCTCTCCAAGTGTTTAAGGAAGTGGGTGGGGCCCAGTGGGGCTTTTTGTGCAGCAAGGCTTCTGTTTGTCTACTGGAGATTTAACTGGATTTGCAGATTTTTTACAAAGCACAAAGATCTTCACTGCATGACTGACAGCAAGTCACAGTGGCCATTTTGTGGCTGGCTGCGCCTCTTGCAGCAATTGTTTTGTGGTAGGGATGCCAGTCCCTAAGTGGGTGTGGGGGATCCCCCGATTTTGTAGGCTCCTGCTCCCAAGCCCCACCCCCCAACAGCAACCACTGGCAGCCACTCCTCTTCCTCCCCTCCTGTGAGATTTAAAGGGCCCTCCAGCTGACTGGCAGGAACACATAGCCTGCCAAACAGCTGGAGGGCCCTTTAAATCTTGCAGGAGGGGATGGAGCGGGTGGATGCTGGCTGCATGCCTGAACTCCAAGAGGCAAATTCGTTGCTTGGAGTCAAGATGCATGCACCCCACCCCCCGCTTCTTTCCAAAAGCATTTAAAGTACTTAAAAGGACCCATTGAATGCCTTTGACAAGAAGTGGGGGCGGCACCTGAACTCCAAGCAGTGAATTTGCCGCTTGGACTGCACTTGTGCAATTGCTGATCTCTAACGTGATGACATCACTTTTGTGTGATGTCATCGCACTGGGGACATCTTTGCCGCCCCCCCCCCAGAAATGCCCCCAAAGTCCCCTGCCAGGGACTAAGGAGGACCTGGCAACCCTGTTTTGTGGCTGCACCCGCCACACTGTGTCAGAATTGCAGAAGTACCTGCAGGCGCAAAAAGGTCGGGGACCCTTAGTGCAGTGTGATCCTGAGTTGATGTCTCTTGACAGTGCTGTTGTCCAAGGTCTCAGCTGCACTGCTGGCTTGCAGGGGTTGTTCAGACTGGCTTCCTCTTGGACTGTTTAAACTCCTCAGTCCATCCCAACAGAAAAAAGAGCTGTGCTGCCCCAGTCAGTGTTATCTGTAGTTTAGTAAAACTGTGCTGTATCTTTAAGACTTGTTGCTCCTGGGAATTGTACTTGGCAGTTAAGGGTCCCAGAAGCTTCCCTCTGACTGGCTCATTAAGAGCAATTTCCTGATTTTATGGATCTTTTCCGTTTCTTTTGTGCATTCAACCCTTACGGCAAGGAGAGGGGAAGCCCATCTCTTTCTCACCGCGGCTATTGAATTAACCTAGATCACAAGATGTAACCTCCCACCTAGCTACTGTGAGTACATGATCTTCTGAATGCGTGTGAAGTTGAATAAAGATGATTTAAGCTTTCTTCAGTGGTCGTGTGTTGCTCACGCCTAGAAAGCGCTGGCTAGTCACAGCTGGCGCTGGACGGGACAAGAGCCACTGCCCAATTCTGAAGTACAAGCAAAATAGTTCTCAGTTTTCACAGTTACATGTTTTAGAACCTCATTTTGAATCTGGACCGAAGCTTTCCTTGAAATTTCCTTTGGATAGAGAGCTTGGGTTGGTGATACCACCACAAATGGGTCCTGCTTTCAGCACGATGCTGGTGTTCCCAGCAGTAGTACAACAGTGATTTGTTTTATGGCTGTGTGTGTGTGTGAGCGTGTGTGTGTACTTGGAATCTGTACGTGTAACTGGCAGAGCTGACATGCCAATACGACCTGCAGCTGCTCAAATATTTGGAGGACAGGGCTGCAAACAAACATATTGTGCTAAGCTGTTAGGAAGAGTGCACAATTACTGTGTACTAAAGATGGCTAATTAGCAGGATGAGACTGTTATTAATGTTATCAGTGATTTATCCATTCACCTTATTTACAGTATTTTTGTATTGCAGTCAGCAAGTAGATTAAAGCATGAAGTAAAACCACAATCAAAACGTCAAATCCATGATAAATTGGCCAAGAGAATCCACTAATAAAAAGAATGCCCTCAACCAAATGCCGTTCTACGGAGAAAGGCCCTCTCTCCAGAAACACTGACAACCTGATCCTTTCTTCTGTGTGCAAACCAAATTGTCTACCACTAAGCCACCGTCCCTTCCGCACCAACTCTTAATATTTTAACTGTTTTTCTGTTCCCATGCACCCGATTTCCTCCCATAAAATGTATACTTGTTTCAACATTATCTGCTCATGTGTAAATAGTCAGTTATTCATTATACTGAGTAATGACATACGCTGAATCTAGAAATCAATTGCTATGAAATCTGTACAACTCAAGTGTACAATACAAATGAATCTACAAAACCAGTCAGAAACGACTAAACAAGGCCGCGATCATATGCACAATTAGCCCCGCCATAGGTGCGAATGCCAGGCAGATTTAAAGGGCGCAATCAGACAACAACATCTGGGAAGCGCCCCGCAGCCACCAGCAACTCCTTCTGCTCTGCTGCAGAAGCGGAGTAAAAAGACCCCGGGGAAATTCCGGTAGTAAACGGATTGCGACTGGCCATGGATGGACTTTCCTGTGTCTGATGGCTCCAGCGCGTTCTCATGGTTTCGGGATGGTCTGATCAGGCCATCCTGACTCCGTGTCATTGGTTCTTCCCCCTTCTCAGTATGCGCATCATCGCAAACTCCACAGGAAGTCCTCAGTGCAGAGATGTGATTCATCAATTCCTCATTTAAACGCATCGGAAACAAAGGGCAAAAACCCCCAACCCAACTCACCAGCGGTTGCGTCTGATCACACAGTGGCGGGCTATGCCCACAGCTTCCAAGGACTGTGTGATTGCGCAACTGCGGGTCAAATTCCTCTGGAGACAATAGCCTCACTCCCCCCCCCCATTTTTTTCAGGCACATGTGACCACAACCCAAGAGTATATTTGCTCATGCGTATCTAAGACTGAGCTTTTAAGCATATTTGGTAGTGGTGGATGTAGGGCAGTGCAGGATTCTCCTGGCTGGAGATTGGAAACCCAGAAGTGTTTGTGTGCTAAGAGAAGTCTGGTGACTGCCTAAACTACGCAGTCAGTTAGCCTTGAGAGAAAGGGGGAGAGGCAGATAGCGGACAGCTGCCTGGAAACACACACACACACACACACATTCCAAAAGGATGCTCGAATGTTTGTAACTCCCTTACGGCGGGAGAGGGAGGGAGAAGGGGGAAGAAAGGTGTATAAAATAAATGCTGAGAAGCCGAGAGGTTTCAGATCAGTTCCTGCAAGCTTGTATCCTGTCGTCTTTGCATTGCCTGCACCCCTGCACCCCCACACCCCAAGGAGCAGCACCACAGGTGGAAAGTGCCATTGTGTTTCAGCCAACCTAGGGCAACCCCTTGGGGTTTTCAAGGCAAGAGATGAGCAGATGTGGCTTGCCATTGCTTGCCTCTGCGTCGCAACATAAGAACATAAGAGACGCCAATGTTGGATCAGGCCAAAGGCCCATCCAGCCCAACACTCTGTATCACACAGTGGCCAGAAATACCAGTGCCCATCAGGAGGTCCACCAGTGGGGCCAGGACATTAGAAGCCCTCCCACTGTTGACCCCCCCAAGCACCAAGAAGACAGAGCATCACTTGCCCCAGAGCCCCTATCTATACCTTGTGGCTAACCCTGGGCTTTCTTGGTGGCCTCCCATCCAAATACTAACCAAGGCCAACTCTGCTTAGTTTCCAAGATCTGACTAGATCAGGCTTCCCTGGGCCAACCAGGTCAGGGCTAAGCATATTTATTTGGATGTAAATTAACTGAAAGTGATGAGAAGACTTCCAAATAAATGTGCTTGAGACTTGGATGTACAGTGACTATTCTAGTGTGAGACTGTATACATGCTTTGATCGCAGTTAAAAAATACCAATTTTAATTGTTATATGAATGGTAAATAAATGGTTATCCCCACAGGGTGGCACCTGGAACTCTCCCACTTTTAGAATTAATCTCCAGACAACCGAGATCAGTTCCCCTGGCGAAAATGGCAGCTTGGAAAGGTGGACTCTATGTCATTATACCCCGCTGAGGTCCCTGCCCTCCCCAAACCCTGTCCTTCCTAAACTCCACCCCCAAAATCTCCAGGGATTTCCCAATCCAGAGCTGGCAACTCTCCGAGGCAGTAATACTACATTACTTCCCAAAGTGTACACAGACACTAGTTGTGACTGCGGCACGTCTGATAAGCCGAGACTTCTGAGTTTAGACCACAGCTATAAAATATACTCCCCAAAGGATAGTAACGGATGGGGTTAAGAGGAAACTATTAATAAGCTCTGTGGGGAGCTTTTAACTGCTGCAGCCTAATGCCCTGCAATTGTCAAACCTGACAGGAGAAAAGATTCCGCTTTACCAGAAGCCTATAGTAATTCTCCTTTTGATGCACATCTCTTAGTAATGTTAACAGCAGTTATACATTTGCATCAAGCAAGCAGCATATCCTGAAGCCTTAGGGACTTTCAAAGGTTAGCAAGGCACTGAACAATGTAGAATTCACACTCAGATGATTCTCGGCTAAGCAGAATACAATCTTCTGGTGTCACTCCAATGTATTTTACTGGGCTGGAAGAAAGCAACTTGTACAATTCCTCCAAAGCATCGTTAAGACACAAATGCAGCCAATTAGCAGAATTACAACCCACAGAAGCGTGGTGCATTATTTCTCTTTTGCATGGTCCATTTGGGGGATTGCTGGATTACTAGTGGGATATTTCAGCTCCCACTGATCCTTTCTATTAGTGTGTGTAAAGTCTACTGGGACACCAATGAACTTAAGGGCATCTTTATGTTGCTCCAGGAAATACAACATGCAAAGCAGGCTGGCAATGGCAAGTTCTGACTTCAGGAGCAATTACGTTCATCTTGATAGACGTCTTGGGGTAAACCCAGAAAAATGAGCGACAACAAAAAGGCTTCTAAATATCTACATAATAAGCTTGGACAATGATAACTCACAGAGTTGTGGAGAATGGGGCACAAAACATACTATCCAGCCAGTTAAGTAGTTAAGATCTGCCTTTGCCTCTAGTTAAGATTGTCTCATGCTCTGCTCTTTTTGTCCCTGCCTTCAGAGTTAAAGCAGATGGTGACTGGTGGTTGAAAGTGCCATCAAGTTGTAACCGACTTATGGAGAGCCAGTATGGTCTTCAAGGCAGGAGATGTTCAGAGGCAGTGATCTGCCATTTCCTGCCTCTGCAGAGTGACCCTGGACTTCCTTAGTGGTCTCTCATCTAAATACTAACCAGAGCCAACTCTGCTAAGGTTCTGAGATCTGATTAGATCGGGCCAGCCTGAGCCGTCCAGGTCAGGGCATGGCAACAAGAGACAGGACATTTTCTGGGGCTCACCTGGTGCCTACTTTACTTTCTTTCAGGTGCCAGGCTAAAATATTTCTCTTTCC